TTTGCATGCTGCCCCATGCTGTGGTGTTCCGCGGGGGCAGCCGGGACGCAGGCGCGGCCCTGCCCGGCGCTGCGCGGGCTCCGCGCGCCCCTGGTCGCGGGGAGGGGCCCCGGGGGCGTCACGCGGCTCCGCCGCGCCCCGCGCCCCGCTGCCCGCCCCGCAGGTGACACGCGGGGCCGCGGGAAGCGGGATGCGGGACGCGGCGCCTCGCGCCGCCCGCTCGCAGGAGCCGGCACAGGCGCTTCCCGCGGCTGCTCTGAGGTAAAACCTGCCTTGGCGGGAGGAAACGGGGAATACCCCGCGTGTGGAGCCCCGCGTGGGCCGAGGTGAGCGGGCGACGTGCGGGGCCCCTCCTGCTCGCTGCCCGTGTCCGAGCGGGTCTCCTCGCGTGGGGAGTCCCCGCCGCGAGCGCAGGGCTCGTGAGGGCCGCGCGTGTGGAGACCCGGCCTGCCCCGAGCGGAGGCGGCTGCGGCGCCCYGGGCTCCGGCCTGAGCTCCCGGCTCCCGGGCCGGGCTCCTGCCTTGGGAGCAGCAGCGGGTGAGAAGGGCTTCACCCTCCTGCTCGAGAGCGAGAGAGGGAGAGACACCCTTATTCCCTTAGTGTTAGAAAAGACCCTCCTCCAAACTCTCCTGGATGTTAGCGATGGCTTGCAAAATTATCAGCGTTAACTGGTGTGTATTTATGCACTYTCCTGTTCTGATATGAAATCCATCATTTCAAGTCTACTTTTTTGGGGGATGTGGCAGTTGTCGGGATAGGTGCCCAGCAAGGCCCTAGGAGGCCCTGGGTGRGCAGAGCGGGAAGGCAGAACTCGGAGGAAGAAGGGATTTCTCTGCCCTGGCTGCCCGGCGGCAGCGGGCACCGGCACCCCACGTCCTGGGTCAGTAACATCTGGTGAGGAGCAGTGCTCGGAGCAGCCGGAACGCGCGTCTTGCAGCGGCCGGGCCCCTCTGCTCATGGGATCAGAATGCTGGTGCTCATTGCAGGGAGCCCGGCACTCAGGAGTWTTGGTTGGGATGTGTAAATTGTGCAGCTTTCCTTGCCAGAGGCTGCAAAACAACGGGGCTTGTTTTGTTGCTGTTGAGCGTCCTGGTTTAGCAGCATCCACAACTGTAGATACATTATGTTTGTTAGATTTGCTTTCCAGCTGATCAGTTTGAAACCATTAAACCCCCCCCCCCCCTTTTTTTTTTTTTTTTTTAACAGATGACTCTCAGANTTTTTTTTTTTTTTTTTTAACAGATGACTCTCAGAAATGGCTACAGCAACTCCTGCCTGGTATGTTTTGTTTTGGTTTATTTTCTGTTTTACTGTTTCTGTAGTTCTCTTCCAGACTTCACATGAGCAAAATGTATGTGAGGGTTGCACTTCCAGGTGGATGCTCAGACTTTACATATGGAATAGATTTAATGAAGGACCAACACAGCAAGTTGTCCTGTGATGTTTGATCTCCAGACTGACTTGAAGCAGACAGCACTGAGCATTAAGAAGGAGGTTCATTTTTAATACCCTGTCATTGCAGATGTTATTTTACCTATTGTGATCCACTCACCATTTCACTTACCTCTGTGGGCATGGAGTGAATATTGGGAAATGGGCCTGTTTATTTTCCACAACGTTGCAAGAAGGTAACGGGACTCGTCACCGCCGTGGCACCTTAACTGCTACGGGTTTGTTTTCACAAAGTGTTTTGTGTTTTCCATTAGATGGGAAGTGTTTTCCATTAGATGGGCAGCGATACAAGACATAGTAGACTCCTGAGCACCTGCCTGCATGGCGGAAAAGGTGCTTGTTTGAATCACGTGCTGCACGAAGCCGTGAGGAGGGTTTGGGCTCATGTTGTGCCTATGAGATGCAGTGTTGCACGCTGGAGTGATGGCAGCGGTTAAGTCTTTCTTTTTGGAGGGATTAAGCATATCAGCTTTAATAACTTGCATGACTTTTCAATCCCTCTCCGGAAGCCTCCTACCTGCTGTGCTTAGTTTCAGAGTCCAGAGCTGTCTGTTTCCTCTCCCGGAGCAGTTTATTGTCTCATGTGCCCGTTCATCAGATTACTTCCCTGCAGGCCCCGCAGAGCCTCCCCGTCAGGGGTCCCCTGGCCCGGCTCCCCGGGCTCCCCGTTCTCAGCCCCGTGCTGCACGTAGCAGGTTCAGGCACTGCAGGAGATATGGGCCCCACCAAAGCCTTCCAGAGTTGGTTGTTAAGCTGTTTTGGCCTCAGATTATCTTTCTCATTGAAAATTCACTGGCAGCTCAGCGCTTCTTTTCAGTGGAAACCTTTGCAGACTGGAGAACAATCTATGAATTTGATAGTGGATTTGTCTGRTGCTGTGTCCCATAGGTGTTTCTCGTTTGTTTCATTGCACTATGTGAAAGAAATTCTTACAGAGCCCTGTCTCTCAAGGCTGCACAACCTCGTGCCCTGGGGCGACAGGATAGTTCAAGCACGCTCTTGGGTCTAATTACTGGTACCAATGCGGGGAAAAGGCTCTCCTGCGAGCAGAGCGGGCAGGCTGTGAAGCTGACGTCCTCCAGGCAAGGCASGTGGGTTTCAAGAGATGAAGCAATGTGTCTCCATGTGCTCCCTCTTGCCTTTTCTCTTTTGTTTTGTTTTGTTTTTCTTCTACAGAATGCCACCTCATCCTGAGGCAGGGCTCTTCTGCAGCTCCAACCACCCTTCGTGTTTCCAAATTTTGTTTTTAAGCATCTATCCCCACGCCTTTTTTTCTAGGTTATACGTGTCAGGGGTTTTGTTGCTCTGCCTTGAGGAATCGTCCTGGGGACAACTCTGACTCCAAATGCGAGGGGCCCCRCGACGCCCCTTGTCCTTCGCTGCCTGTGCCCGGTGCTCCCGGCTCGCAGAGCGGAGCGGGCGAYGTGGGCACGGAGCGAGGCAGCACCTGGGGAGCACAGGAGGGCCTCGTTGCGCCTTTCAAGCAGAGAGTCATGTGGGAATATTAGCTAAATTCTGTGTGTGTGTGAGTATCTAGATGGCCAAAATCCATAGTGAGAGTGTGTAGGGAGAACTCGCTCTCAAAATAAATTGTTACGTATATTTTTGATGTTGTTGTAGATGACAAGCATGAGAGGAGATGAGGTGTATTTTGTGTGAGCAGTTTGGRGCCGAGTTGATAATTTGTGTTGTTTTGAATTCTCATTTGGCACAAGTAGGAGAGAAGAGATATTTTTGCTTAATATCTGCACAACTTTTAGCTGAGCAGTTTCAGCATGACTTTTAAGTAAATTGTTTAACACAGAAAATTAKCTAAACTGCCTTGATTTAATAACTGATTTAAGCTTGGTTAGTGGACAAATGCTATGTTGCCTCTCTCTGGTTGGATGTGCTTTGCTCTTTGGAGCCAGTGAAGCATCCAGGATGTAGAGGACACACGTGCAGCCTGTTGCTTGAATCCTGCCTGGCAAGGTCTGGAAAGCAGGAACATCTAGCACAGAAAGGAGGAATGTTTGCTTTCCTTTAAGGAAGGTACACTCAGGAACCCTCCTCTGAGGTCAGGCAGCTGCAACACACTTTGCACATGGTCCAGACAGCTGCATTTCCACCTGGAATGACAGAAAATGATCCCAGAGCCTGGGCTGTGCAGGCAGCAGGACTTCTTCACTGGAGCACTTGGGTGGCTGCTCTGGGATCGGCACCAGCTGCCCGCGTCTCCCGAGGCTGTGTAAATAGAGACCTCGGAGACCTACGTAGATGAAATTAAAAAAAAAAAAAAAACTCTACTGAGAAAATACAAGCATGCAAACCCCAAAGGTATTTGAAGTCAATTTTTTTTTTTTTTTTTTTTTAAAGGTGGTCAAGTGAACATGATTGGAATGAATAAGTCAAGGTGATTTTGACTTGTGGATCTGGAGCTGCTCAGTGAGCTGGATGAGAAACTCGATCCTCGAGCTGTCCAGCTGATGTCCAGCCTGTAAGTATGGAAACAGAGGGAGTGAATCCTCCCTGCGCCCTGCAGAGCAGAGCACTGAGCCTCACAGCCTGCACASACTTTTGTCCTGAAATCACTCCCGTTTTGGAGGGAAGGAGGTGGCAGGAACTATGTCACATTCACAACTGTTCCTGGCTATTCATTTTCCTGCAGCTGCTTAGCTTACAAGACAGGTAGGTGCTTTACACATGCACTTCATCACATAGTATTTTTCCTTTTGGCAGAATGCCTAGACCTGAGAATTACATGCCTTTTATTCACACTGCTATAAATCTCAGT